ACAGGTTTCCCCGCCAGCTGACCCGCTACTACCCCCAGATACTCAGCAACAAGGATGCGGAAAAGGTGCCAAGGAACCTGAGGCTGCTTTCCCATCCCTCTCCTCTCTGGGCTGGGAGAAGCGGGGGGCAGGACAGCTTGGAGGTGAAAACCTGTCTCCTTAGGGTGACCTTGGGCCCAGAACATCAGCTCTTTGAGCCTTAGTCTCTTTATATGTCATCAGGGCTTCTGGCCCCTTCCAGAAATGCTGGGAGGATCACAGGAGACATGTGATAACATGCCACAACATGAGACAAACCTGAGAGGGGGAACAGGGGGAGTGCTGGGGTGGGGGGGGATCAGGGATACCAGACAGGCCCTACCCAGTGCCATAGGGCTCTTCACTCTGAATCTTCCAAAAGTTCAAAGTGGGCAAATGTTTTGAGTGTAATCTGGCCCATCCTATTCAGGGACACTGGGTGAGAGTGGGTGCTCCTTGCTCGCCCCACCCACTTCTCTGGCTCCCCCGTGGGGCTGGGGGTGGGTGCTAGAGACCAGCCGGGGCTTTGGGGTGCAGGACCTGTCTCCCATCTGGGTGACTGAGCGAGCTCTTCTCCTCTTGGACCTGAGCTTCCTGCCTTGGCACAGGGTAACAGTTTCACGTGCAGGGCTATTTGGAGGGTTGGGGTCTCTCCTAGGGACAGGTGAGATTGATCCTCAACAGAACTAGAATCAACACAGACCCTGCTACTGGCCCACATGCTTCTTAAGTTACAGAAGTAGTACAGTGAGTTAAAAAGTAGGGGCTCAAATTTATATCTTGTAATTAAAAGTCGAATACACATTCATTGTAAAAAAACAATTTGAAAAGCTCAGATGTTTACATGAGAAAAAGGAAACTCCTCCACACACAAAACTACAGTTCCTTTCCTCATAGGTACTCATGGCTTCTGCTGCACATCTGCCTTTGCTTTGCAGTTTCTGTACCTTTGTGGTTTGACTCTAGTTCCTTGTAGCATGGTACACCACCACCAGGTGGCAGCACCGAGCAATGGCCTCCAGGTTCTGGGGGTCAATGCCAAGTACCCTGTCCATTGACCTTTACAACCACATATTTTTCAGTCAACCACATCAAAAAAGCCACCTTTTTTTCTCCTTAACCCTTGATTTATTTTTTAAAACTTGAATCACATTCCTACAGAGTGTAAACTACTAGAAATTATCATTACCTCAGAGATTCCCTGTAATGACCCTACCATGTGGGTTTATTATTCCCTTTTTACAAATGGGAAAACCAAGTCGGCAAGCCACTAAGTTTCCACACTTGGAATAATGTCACCGCCATCTTTCTTGCTGACCTGTCCTGGCCTCCAGTGGGAGTGCAAGGCTTAGTGGCCATGCAGCACAGTCTTGGGTGCCACATGGGAGTGCATGAGGCTGTGGTAGCAATTGCTACCTCCCCGTGCATGTTCCAAGCACCTAGATGGTATCACAGCCATTGAGGAAGCTGGGGCTGGGTGCTGAGCCCAGAGTGCTCCAGCCTGACCTTGTCTTGTGCCCCTTCCTCCTCCAGTTCCGGAACCCCAAGGTATCTCTGCGAGTGCGTCTCTGCAACCTCTTGGGCCACCTGCAGCGGAGCGGTGAGCGGGACTGCCAGGAGTTCTACCGGGCCCTGTACATCCATGCCCAGCCCCTGCACAGCTGCCTGCCCAGCCGGCACACCCTGCGTAAGTGTGTGTCCCAGTCCCCAGGCCTCGGCATCTTCTTGTTCAGCCCTTCACCAGAGACTGCCCTCTGGTTGCATCTTGTGTGGCCCTCAGAGTATTTCAGACAATATAGATGTTTCTGTCTCCACGTCTCCCTCCCTCTGTCTCTGTCTCTCTGTCCCTCTGTCTCCCTTTTTCTTGTGCCAGTTTTTACACAAAAGGTAGCATCTCTTGCATGCAGCTCTGCCCTTCCCTCTGTAATCTAATGAATCTGGGAACCCTTACACTTCTTATCAGAAATAGCTCACGGCTGTAGGCTGTACCAGCCTTGAGTGAACTGACTCCCCCAACCCCCACAACGCAGGTTGCGTCCACTTTCACCCAGGTAGATCCTCATGGCATGGCTGTTTCTGTGGAACAGTTTCTGACACAGATGGCTGGTCCAAGACACATGTGTTTTGGTTTAGAGGGTCTGGCCTGTGGGCCCGGGAGGCTTATGAGCCCCGAGAGGTCCTCTGAGCTGCCTGGTTGGGTGCAGGGAAGGTACAAGCGGGGATGGCAGCTCAGTCCTGAGGCCTCTGCACCCAGGTCCCCAGGAGGAGTGGCTACTGTCCCTCAGTCCTCAGATGAGAGGCTGGAGGCTGGGAGGGAAGAGGTGGCTCGCCTCAGGCCACTCGGCTGGACCTGGGGCTAGTGACCCTGCCCCCAAGGACAGGCTGGCAGGACTGGGCCCTGAGCTCCAGCATGGGACGGTCCTGTCACCACAGGTCAGGACCACACAGCCTGCCTGGAGTCAAGTACCTACCAGGGTAGTACCCTCAGGGCTGTCTGGCACCTGGCTGGTTAGGGGGAGCCCCAGTGGGGTCTGGGGAAAGAGAAAGAGCGCCCTGCCCTCACATCAACATCATCAGACTTTGGACAGGCAGGTGTTTGCGCTGTGTTTGGTGCCTTGTGGTTGCCAGGGAACAATGAACCCCCTACTCCATGGTCCTCAAGTTCTCATGAAGTGGACAAAAGGAGAAGACACAAAACTGTGCAGGGTTCCATCCCTGGTGCTGACTTCCCCCAAACACAGCCTGGAGGGCTTAGCACCGGCACAACCTGAGGGGCCTGGGTGGTCTGGGGGAGGGGGCTCGACAGCCCCCTTGGTTTCCCAAGGGTGGGGCAACCACCTTACCCTCTGGCCCACCCACAACTAACTGCACCCTGTGATTTTGTTTCCAGAGAACTCAGATTGCACAGAGCTAGACTCGGGCACCGCAGGCCGTGAGCTCAGTGACAGGGGTAACCGCCTCCCACGTCCCTTCTCTGTGTTCCCCCACCCAAGGCTCCATCTCTGCCTTGGGGGCTTCTCCATTCCAAGTCGGGTTCCGTTCCTGGCTTCCTGTTGGACAGACCCCCTCAGGGTGCTCACTGGGTGCGTCCCTGCCCAGCTGATCCCAGCACAGGGTGTGAGCCTGTCCCTCGAGGCCTCTGGACCCCTCCCGCCCTCCTGGGCTCGGGGAGCTGCTCACGTGCATTTCTCCCCAGGACCCGTGGCCTTCCTGACCTGTCTCGGCCTGGCCGCAGGGCTGGCACTCCTCGTCTACTGCTGCCCCCCAGGTGGGTGCTGCCTGGCCAAGCCTCAGCCCAGTCCTCTCCAGACCATGGGGCAGAGCCCTGCCGGATGGACGGAGGCCTACACCTGAGGCCCCTACTTGTGGCCCAGTGTGGCAGTCCTGCGGTTCCTTTCCTGCCATGCTGACCTTGTCGAGGTCCTGTGTGGGGAGCCAGTGCCAAGCAGGCCCACTCGGCATGGGGACCCCACATACTCAGGTGTGGGGCTGGTGATGCCATGAGGCTGAGAGAAGGTGCCTTCTCGATGGGTTCTGAGACCCCCTTGTCTTCCAGATCCCAAGGTGCTGCCAGGGGCCCGGCGTGTCCTGGGCTTCTCCCCTGTCATCGTCGACAGGCACGTCAGCCGCTTCCTGCTGGCCTTCCTCACAGATGACCTGGGGGGGCTCTGACCGATCCCATCCATGCGCACCTTGGCTGCTTGCTGCCCTAGGGCTGGCTGGCTTTTCTAAGTGTTTATTTCTCACTGTGTATAACTTATGTAACAAGCACTTTACCTTCACTGTACAAAGGTGCTCAACAATATTAAATGTTTGAGTCTTATCCCTTCTCTCAGGAGTGTTTTCTAGATGATTCCAACAGAAGACATGACAGCATGTGTAACTGGGGCTGACCCTGTGGGCTCTTGGCTTCCCGAGTCCAACCCAAGACCCAGGTCCTGCTCAGGCCACCTTCTCAGACCCCTGTGGGCCTGGGCCTCACCCCTCCATCTGGGCTACCTGCCCCAGATGACCCCTGCTGTGTCCCCCAGTGCCCACCTCCAGATATCCCCTGCCACCTGTTCCCCTTCCCTCCCTCCCTGGCCACCTTCCACTACTTTTCTCCAGAACTCCCTACCTTGAACCCCTCCTGCCATCCCCTGCCTAGGTGTTGTTGGTCCCCACACCTGCCCCTGCCCATCTTCCCTCCTTCCCCAGCCCTCAGCCCCAGGTGGCGAGGATGAGGATGGACAGGGCGCACTGGGCTGCTCTGTTACCCGAGCCCTGGGCCATGGAAGGGCTCCAGCCAAGTGCCTCATGATACCTAGTGCCAGCATGTGTTAATTTGATTCCTCTTAGCAGCCCCAGGAGGTGGGCTGCTGTCCCTGCTTTCCTGATGAAGAATCTAAGACTGAAAGGAGAGATCACTCAGCCAGGAAAGCGGGGGGACCCAGTGCATGAGGGGCTCCACCACCATCTTCATTCCCTTCCTGTGACATGTCCCAAGGAGACATGTCATCCCCCTTGTCACTGTCCAGTCACCAGAGCCAACACCCAGATCCTGGGCCCTCGAGGCCCCTCATACTACTACTATCCTGGAAATGGAGCCCCTCCCCCCTGGGAGGCAATGACCCACGCTTGGCGGGTCTGGGGAGGGTTCAGTTGACACAGATATGGTCAGAGCCTAGAAATGAACACAAAGTCTTGTCCCTGATCCCAGGTGGAGAGGAGGTTGAGACAGAAAAAAAAGAGTCCACAAAAACTTATAGAACTTTTAGAGATGAAAAATGTAATTGTGCCATCTGAAGTCTTTGGCTCTGGCTCCTCACGCCCTCCCCCAACAGCCTGGGGTTTGGCCAGACCCAGCACCTTGTCCTCAGAGCTGAGCCCCTGTATTTGTCTTGGGGACATGGGCCTGTCCCCTTGACCAGGGTGTTTGTACCTATTTGTCTCACCTGCCAGCCTCCGGCTCAGGATCTTGTCATGGAAATGTCCCTCGTGGACACAAGAGGGTGAGTGTACACGTCCAAGAGTGTGCTCTGCCTTTGGCTCTGGGGGCTCTGTGAGCCAAGTCCCCAGTGCCTACTACCCTCCTGCAGGCTGTGGTTGTCTGGCACCTGTCTTTTATGTGGACCCATGTCACCACCCTCATTACTGATGAGGGAGCTGAAGCTCAGAGCCCAGGACCACACAGCTGCCAAGAGTGCCCTCCCCACACGTGTACACGTGCACACAAAGGCATACACACATGCACACATACACGAAAAGTGTGCACATGTACACGTGCACAGTGCTCAGATACACACGTGCACCGCACTAGGCATGGGCTGCCAGGGCCTGGGCCTGGCCCCTGATGGGCTCCTCTCCCCATTGCCCCCACCCCGTCAGCTCCTCCCTCTCCAGCCTCTTTGGGGAAACAGAAGTATGTTTGTCACCCCAAGAATCATCATGAGCTTGCATTTTCCATAGGGGGTTTCCGGAGGAACCCACAGCCTGACTCCAGGAATGACGCTACCTTTGGGCCCCCAGGCGGGGTTCCACTCCCAGGTTTTAGTCTCTCAGAGCATGTGGGAAGGAAACAAGATGGGAGGCAGAGGGATCAGCTTCAGGACATGGTCTCTGGCTGATTGATTCAGCCAGTTCGTGGGCTAGTTCACTCATTTGTATGCCCAGCCATTAAAGTGAGGACCAGGGCAAGGGAGAGCCAGGCATAGGAGCTCTCCTTTCTGCCCTGAAGCCTGGGACAGTGCAGCTTCCCACTCACTCCTCCACCTCTGCACTGCAGGCTGTGGGTGTGTGTCTCCAAATTCTGAGCCTTAGTTTACCCATCTGTAAAAAGGGACACAACCTTGGGCCCCCTCCTTGAGCATGGATATCCTGAGCTGGATAGCACTGTTCCAAGTACTGTTCTCTGGAAATTGCTTCATGAATTTACCACTTTGCTGGAAGGCATAGCTAATGCATGTTCTCTCTGGGACAGACTCCCATTGGGTGAAAGGAGTGCAGTTGCCTGTGCTCAGTGGGGAGGACACAGGTGCCACCCTGAGCTGAATGGGCTGAACGGATCCCCCAATGGCTGTGCCCCACATGAAGGTTCTTCTTGATCTTGTTCAGGGTCCAGGGTTAGGGATGCTGTGAATGTGCCCACTCCCTTCCAGCCTCCTCAGGGCTGTGAATGTGCACCACACTCCAGGTCTCTTGCAGACAGTTCCCCATGTAAACTGGCTCTTATTGCTGCAGAGACTGACTGGAGGCCACCTTCCTGATTGGCCAGCCAGACCAGGGGACTAGTCCCTGCACCTGCTCTGGACTCTGAGCTCAGGTGGCAGGGGTTCTCAAGGTCAGCAGACCCCTGAGGCCCAGCCCAGCATGTCCTGTCCAGTCTGCAGCCCCTCCACCCATTGTGAGCGAGCAGGATTCTGATTCTGAGGGTAATTGCTTCCTGGGCAGATGCCTGGGGTATTCTTGGTGCTTGTCCTGCTCTCTGAGAGACAAGCTTGGGTAAAAGTGACACATGCCCGATGAAAGTGACAGACACAACTAGGTAAAGGGCACTACTGGGTGAAGGTGACAGACGCCTGACTGTAGGTGATAGAGACATCTGGGTAAAAGTAAATGAGGCCACTGTGTGAAGGGTGCAGGCAGAGCAAACACTGAATAAGCCAGTGCCTTGATCTCAGCCTTCCAACCCCCTGAAATAAATGTTGTTTATACAGCACCCAGTCTGTGGCCTTTGTTATAGCAGCCCTGAACTAAGACAGCACCTTTGAGGGAACATCCCAGAGGCAGGCCCCGCAGGCCTATGGCAGGGAAGTCCTGGGTCCTGTCCACCCCCCGAGACCTGTGAGACCCTGTGGCAGGGTTCCATCCCCTGAGCAGGGGGCGGTAGGTGCCTGTCCCAGGTCTCAGGACCCGTCTGGTGAGCTGTGATAGTCCAGGACACCTATTCCCTTGGCTCGAGCTGGGCTACCTCTTGTGACTGCTGACTTTCTCCTTCCATCCATTACCTACCAAGGCCTTGCCCTGGAGGTCCAAAGCAGCCCCCGAGCTCAGGCTGTTCTTGGACCCTTCTGTGGATCCCCGCCTCAATGGCCCCTTCCCTGACTGTGCCTGGACTCCGTGCCTGCAGCTGAAGTCTGCAACAACAGCCCAGACCAGCAGCCAGGCTCCTCTGCCATCTGCCTGCCCCTGGCTGGTTGCTGCCATACAATGCCTCCACTCCTGGGCTGGGACTGAGGGAGGTAGAACAATGGGGCATCCATGTTTAGGCACAGTACTTCCCCGCATGAGGCCATGTCCTGCCAACCACCTTGTCAGTCAGTGACCACAACCTGGAATGAATTAAGTCCATCAGGGTGTGAAAGACACCATGGGCCACAGTCTCCCCTGCTGGCCCCCTGACCCTCTGTCCCCCGTCCCCACCTCCATACCTCAACAACTGGAACTGTCCATGATCCATGCCTCTGCACCTTTGCACATGCTATTCCCTCAGAAGGAACACTATTAACCATCCGCCCTCCACCCTCCATCTACTCAACCTGGGTCTTTGGTAAAATGCCATCTCCATCAGGAAAGTCCCCCCGAAACTCTAGTAAGAAAAGAGTAGTTCCTCATCCTGGCTATCACAGTGCTGGGATGACTGTCCCATCTCCAGTCTGCCTGGGGTGGGGAAGAACTCCCATGTGTAGGGAGAGGAATGAGGGAGGGTGTGAGGAGGATGGGAGGGACGGAAGTGATGCGGGCATTTGGGAGAAGTGTGTCTGTGAAAAAGGAGGTGTGTGTGTGTGAAGAGTAGTGGACCTGTGATGGAGGGAGTTAGGGCCTTAGATACTCTTGCCAGAGTGATGTGGCTCAGGCCAGGTGAGGTCACAGGCTGGTGTTTGCGGAACACCCCCCGAGACCTGTGAGACCCTGTGGCAGGGTTCCATCCCCTGAGCAGGGGGCGGTAGGTGCCTGTCCCAGGTCTCAGGACCCGTCTGGTGAGCTGTGATAGTCCAGGACACCTATTCCCTTGGCTCGAGCTGGGCTACCTCTTGTGACTGCTGACTTTCTCCTTCCATCCATTACCTACCAAGGCCTTGCCCTGGAGGTCCAAAGCAGCCCCCGAGCTCAGGCTGTTCTTGGACCCTTCTGTGGATCCCCGCCTCAATGGCCCCTTCCCTGACTGTGCCTGGACTCCGTGCCTGCAGCTGAAGTCTGCAACAACAGCCCAGACCAGCAGCCAGGCTCCTCTGCCATCTGCCTGCCCCTGGCTGGTTGCTGCCATACAATGCCTCCACTCCTGGGCTGGGACTGAGGGAGGTAGAACAATGGGGCATCCATGTTTAGGCACAGTACTTCCCCGCATGAGGCCATGTCCTGCCAACCACCTTGTCAGTCAGTGACCACAACCTGGAATGAATTAAGTCCATCAGGGTGTGAAAGACACCATGGGCCACAGTCTCCCCTGCTGGCCCCCTGACCCTCTGTCCCCCGTCCCCACCTCCATACCTCAACAACTGGAACTGTCCATGATCCATGCCTCTGCACCTTTGCACATGCTATTCCCTCAGCAGGAACACTATTAACCATCCGCCCTCCACCCTCCATCTACTCAACCTGGGTCTTTGGTAAAATGCCATCTCCATCAGGAAAGTCCCCCCGAAACTCTAGTAAGAAAAGAGTAGTTCCTCATCCTGGCTATCACAGTGCTG